AGATATTACCAGGATCCAGGCTCTGTGATATATATTGTGATATATTGTTTATTTGCATTTAGTAGAAAGCCTCAACGTCGAGAGCTTCAACGAAGCGTCAATCTGATTGGTTTAAAGTTAAGGATACAATACAGGAGCCGTCCAATGAAATTTCTTTATACAATAATTATTCTTATTTATTGTTTTGTAAACAAAGCAAAGAGAAAATGTCTACGCAGTCGCTGGTAAGTTTTGTTTTTTATACCAAACTTAAACTCTGTATCAAGTTCAAAGTAAACCCACATAGCGCCTTTTTTACAGTGTTGTCTATGATGTTTTCATGATTAATTAATAAATATTCTAAATAAAATTCTTGAAAATTTCCTGTCGCACAAGGTGCAAATGTTTTTTTTTTTTTTTTTTTACAAAAACTGTCAAATGAAGATAGATCTACAGAAATCTAGATCTAGGATTTGTATCTTGTATAAATAAGATTTCATTTATTTAATATACTAATTGCAGATGACAGCTGATATGGAGATTGAAATAAACAAAAAAGACCAGTGTGCTCGTAAGTAATGTGTGTTTGTTTGACTGTATGTTTTTGATAAATGGTCTGGAAATTCATTACAATGGGCCTAAAACAACTAATAAATTTCTTTGTAATATGAAATTAAGATATCACATACTTTATTTACATTAATTAAGTGGTCAATTTGAAAGTCTGTAGTGAAAATATCAAAAAGATACGTATATTGATAGGATTTCTTTCTATTTTACTTTTTATTTTGAACAGCCAAAGCCACTGTCAGACTAATTTTGAAAGAAAACATGTTGAAAGCAAAAGTGGTGGGCAGGGGAACTGCCCTTGGAGGCTGGGACACCCAGCGTGGCATTAACATGTCAAGGACAACCAGCATGGGTGTCCCGTCTCTAAGGGCAGAGTTTCTCCTGCCCAAGGGCTCAAAATTAGAATGGAAATTCATTAAGCCACAAAATGTAAGTATTATATCTTTTTATAAAAGTAATAATCTAAGGTAAAAATTTTATTCTTTGAAATTGAAAAGTCTGGCATGTTTAAGTATTTATTTATTTATTCATTTCTCTGGAGTATTTGATTTATTAGTAATTGTATATATTTATAAAATTATATTATCATTTTTGACATTTACATATTATCAAGTTATTTATTTATTCATTCATCATTCATTCAGCCTTACCACCCTGGGTCTGGCTGGACATGGGAGCCTGACCACCAAGGACAGCATGGAAGTGACCTGTACTTGGGGAGAACTGGACATGGAAATAAAAGGTGCTGGATCTTATAATTTTATTTGATATAACCAATGAAAATAAAAGGTGAATTAAACTTTTTATTTTGTCATGTATAATGTATGGAAACAAGATTACTCTTATAATCCTATGAAATATAACCTATGGAATGAAATGATGAAATGATCCTTTAATTCTGTCCAATACATTTTAGACTATATTTAATCTATATCACAATTTGTGAATGACAAATAAATGTGACATCTTATTCCAGAGTTGAACTACATGTACGAGCCTGAAGTCCACACCAGTGGTAAGTGAATTGCATTATATAATTGTATTGCTCTATTCAAGACAATAATTCAGCAGATTTAGCAATTTACTTGGTGCATTTTTTAATCTACTAGCAAGGATTTAGGGCCTGTTGACAATGAATTTGAAGACCTAGCTAATATGCACGAACTCCATGGAAAGTCTCGCTGAATACAATCAGATTAACACACTAACCCCCCTCCCCTTTTGTCTCCAACATCCAGAATCACCAGGATTTCTGTATTCTACTCAATGTCATGATGTATTTGATATGTTAAGTTTAGACAAAACAAATACATGTATTGTGTTTCCTTAGATTTCAATTCAATTCTCATGTTTCAGCTGATAAAGTCCTATTGAAGAGATGGATAAGACTGGAATCTCAGTAAAATGAACGCAATTGAACATGCACACTATGTTGCATAGTTTGTCTGGTCTTTAACAGACTTAAGTAGATACTTTATCTTCAGAAAAATTAATGCTCTTGCTGTGTAATCATTAAACACACTTGGTATTCCTTAAAATTCAATTCTGTTCTTTCAGTTGATACCAAAGAAGAGAACAATGTAGCAATTGCTAAGACCCTAACTATTGAGGAGCTAGGTAAGGCTGGAATCTCAGTAAAATAATTATGAACTTTAATATACTTATGAGTTAAAATTCACTGTTCAGTTATTTAAATCTTTCAGTGTATCTTTGACTATGTTCAGTAATGTATTGAATCTTTGTAGTGCACACATGTATGGGATGTTTAATTTGTTTTCCTGTCTTTCTTCAGTCAGTATCAATGGCACAACAACCCTGACAGAAGACATGAAGGAGAGAGGTAAGATAGCAGGATCAATAGAATAGGGATTTATTTATTACACTGACGGAATGTGATTGTGCATGTACACACACACACAGCGTATTGATGTGTAAACACAGTATGGCCTTTATTCAAGTTTTACTTGTCTAATTTGTTTATTCTAAATAATTGTAAAAGATTTTCAGTACAGTTCCATGCATGAAATAATGTGGTACACTAACTACATATTGAAGGTTATATATTATTGCATATAACTAAGTTAATATTGTGTCATATATTTCAGCTCCCAAGGACAGTCACCCATCTAGGTGGAGAAGATTTTTAAGTCTTTTCACGTCTTGCTTCAGATGAAGATCAAGAACATAAATGGTTATTATTATTATTGTTGTTGTTATTGAATAAATCTAATCGCTCCTGATATTTAGAAATTTGACAGCATTTAAAAATAGAACAGATTCATTATACAGTCACAAGGAAGTTCTTTTGTTTGTTTCCTTGTTTTGATGGCATCATAACTAAGTAAACTTTCAGTTTTTAAGAGGTACACTATGTCAAACAGCTGGTAAAACATGTACAGTAATTGTATGATAGCAGCTGGGAGCTACTGGTTATAGAGTTACTGTCAACATCTTTTTACAGCTAATACATTTTAACTGAATTATGTTTTAATATTTTCATCTTTTTATTTTTCAGGGTCATCATTGCAGAACTACTATTGCCTCTGAAGTAGTCAGTTAAAAACTTCAAATGACATTCTCTTAATTTTACAATAAAGTATAAATTTTGTGTAATCAAACGTGTTTTGTTTTTCTTTCTTTTCTCAAATGAGACAATGATTCAACAACTTAAACATGACAAAAACAATTTCTTTAAAAAAAATCATTTTATTGCTTGTGAGCAAACTGAAAAGAAAAAAATTTAATCACTTAGTTGTCTCAGTTAATGGGTCAAAGTTTAAACAGACAATACAGTCCCACACATTTTGATATTTTTATTAAAATTTTATTTAAATTTTATTAAAATTTTATTTTATTTTAATTAAAATTTTGATAAAAGGCTCTAAGCAAAAATAAGTTTTATGTACTATATCAGTCTTTTGCAATGACTCATGAATCATCCAATGGGACTACTATAAATTTTTGGGGAAAAATGAAATAATCTTATTGCCAAAAATTAATGTTGCTTGCTATAACATATGAATCTTCCAATGGGGCTATCATAAAAGTTGTGGAAAATAACTCTTCGTATGAGATCTATATTTCACAATAAAAACATTGTGAATAACTCATAGAAATATAATACATTCTGTTTTACCACAAAAACGGCAGTTATAGCTATTATTCTGATATTTGACCTTGTCTTAAGACCACATGACCTCCATTGATGGCTATACTCTGTTATAATCTCTTAAAACATTATAACAAATAAAACTTTTTAGACAGAAACCAGGGACTAACTTAAAATGTAAAAATGGATTCATTAACCATTGGTATGTTTGGGAAAATTGTTGTTTACTCCAGGAAAATTCATTTTTTGGCCAAAACGAAGAGTTATTATCCCTTTTAAAAAGTCTATTCTTGCTCCTTTTTTAAAGTAACATGCCTTGGTGGAGTTAATGAATAAAGTTGTCATACCTATAACCGAACTTAAGTTTTTTTTATAAATTTCTTAACCTGAACAGACCCAGTAGCCAGGGGGTGTGTGGTCCCTTTTTGCTGGGAAAATGTTCCCTCTGAGCAAAATTTTATCTAAGTTCATGAAGATTGCATAATAAAAGGTCCATTTTGTTTTCAGAAAAAGAACCTTCTTTTTGAAACTGCTGGCTTCAGAAGGGTTTCATAAATTGAATTCATTGAATGACTTATCACATCATCTACAGAACCAGCCTGGCATGTACAAACTGACTGATAAAATCAATTCTTGTCTTTTAACCAGCTAGATGTAGCTTGATGGAATGTCATGGTACATGTTTACCTTTGCTTAGTGAAGTAATAACAGATAATTATATGCAGTGGGTTGTGCAGATAACATCTTTAAATTATGGCATCTGAAGTATTGTAGAGAAATCACTTCAACCAATCAGATATGTCCACTGTAACCAACAGTTAACATTATCCAATAGAAAGACTGGATTCAAGATTTTAAACAGGGGGTTGCTAATACAACTTTATGCATGGCTCAGTACAAAACTGGGTGAATTGTTAACTACAAGTTCATATGGAATCCAAATGGATATTTCTAAGGTGAGATCGAGTTGAATTGCGAACACTATTTCAGCATTGGAAAAAACATATCAAGCCTCGAATAAGTCTAACACCTTATCCAAGCGACTGATCGACTAGCTCCTGAAAACTCTGAGGGCAATGAAGGCCTGCTTAGATCTGAATATTGCAGGTCCAGACAAGAAATTGCTGACCCGAATGTTTTTCGCATTAATTATTTCAAGTAAACATTGTGCACATTTAACCGACAGACAGTAAATGCTGCGGCCTACTATATACTGCGTTCCTACTGAAAATGGCTGCCCCCATGTAGTTCCGCAGTCGGTGGAAACGCGCTTATATGATTAAGACGAGCCCAGCCGTCAGTACCGGATATTGTTTTGTGACCTTGAGGAGCAATTAGGTTTGGTCTTTGCGGCACGCATGAACAGTAGTCGAACTACCACACCTGGGTCTTTTGTTTTTGACAACTGTTCACTCGTCCTAAGCAGTATGAAGGGGCCGGCGTCCAACAATTTTCAGCCTGTCTGTCCAGGTTCACAGCAAAATGTTAGACAGTAGTGTAACAATGGCTAATAAAAATTATGTGAAAAATAACCTTGGAATCAGGACTCAATGTTACTTGAGACAAGAATCTTTCAACAATTAATCGTCTCATGAAATTCAAGAAAATAATTATACTGGAGAGAAACCTTACAAGTGTAGATTCTGTGGCAAGACTTTTATACCACCAATTAAGTTCTTACAGCATTCAGTAAAAATGTACATAGGAGAGAGACCTCACAAGTGTAGATTATGTGAAAAGACTTTAAAAGACAAAAATTCTTGCATACGTCATGAGAGAATTCACACAGGAGAGAGACCTTTCAAGTGTAGATTCTGTCACAAAACTTTTACTCAAAAAGGACATTGCACAGAGCATGAGAGAATTCATACTGGAGTCAAACCTTACAAGTGTAGATTCTGTGACAAAACTTTTACTCAAAAAGGACATTGCACAGAGCATGAGAGAATTCATACTGGAGTCAAACCTTACAAGTGTAGATTCTGTGACAAAACTTTTATAGACAAAACTTCTTGCATAGTGCATGAAAGAATTCACACAGGAGAGAAACCTTACGGTTGTAGATTCTGTGACAAAACTTTTACAGACAATGCTGTTTGCATATGTCATGAGAGAATTCACACAGGAGAGAGACCTTTCAAGTGTAGATTCTGTCACAAAACTTTTACTCAAAAAGGACATTGCACAGAGCATGAGAGAATTCATACTGGAGTCAAACCTTACAAGTGTAGATTCTGTGACAAAACTTTTACTCAAAAAGGACATTGCACAGAGCATGAGAGAATTCATACTGGAGTCAAACCTTACAAGTGTAGATTCTGTGACAAAACTTTTATAGACAAAACTTCTTGCATAGTGCATGAAAGAATTCACACAGGAGAGAAACCTTACGGTTGTAGATTCTGTGACAAAACTTTTACAGACAATGCTGTTTGCATATGTCATGAGAGAATTCACACAGGAGAGAGACCTTTCAAGTGTAGATTCTGTCACAAAACTTTTACTCAAAAAGGACATTGCACAGAGCATGAGAGAATTCATACTGGAGTCAAACCTTACAAGTGTAGATTCTGTGACAAAACTTTTACTCAAAAAGGACATTGCACAGAGCATGAGAGAATTCATACTGGAGTCAAACCTTACAAGTGTAGATTCTGTGACAAAACTTTTATAGACAAAACTTCTTGCATAGTGCATGAAAGAATTCACACAGGAGAGAAACCTTACGGTTGTAGATTCTGTGACAAAACTTTTACAGACAATGCTGTTTGCATATGTCATGAGAGAATTCACACAGGAGAGAGACCTTACAAGTGTAGATTCTGTGACAAAACTTTTACTCAAAAAGGCCATTGCACTGAGCATGAAAGAATTCATACTGGAGACAAACCTTACAAGTGTAGTTTCTGTGACAAAACTTTTAGAGACAGAGCTTCTTGCATAAAGCATGAAAGAATTCACATAGGAGAGAAACCTTACAAGTGCAGATTTTGTGACAAAACTTTCACTCTAAAAAGTTATTGCAACGTGCATGAAAGAATTCACATAGGAGAGAAACCTTACAAGTGCAGCTTCTGTGACAAAACTTTTACAGTCAAAACTTCTTGCATACAGCATGAAAGAATTCACACAGGAGAGAAACCTTACAAGTGCAGATTCTGTGACAAAACTTTTACTCAAAACAGTCATTGCAATGTGCATGAAAGAATTCATACCAGAGACAAACCTTACAAGTGTAGTGTCTGTGACAAAACTTTTAAAGAAAACAAATCTTGCACAGAGCACGAAAGAATTCACACAGTAGAGAAACTTTACAAGTGTAGATTCTGTGAGGAAACTTTTTCTCAAAAAGGCCAATGCAGTGCGCATGAAATAATTCACACAGGAGAGAAAAATTACAAGTGCAGTTTCTGTCACAAAACTTTTAAAGACAAAAAAAATTGCATATATCACAAGAGGATTCACACAGGAGAGAAACTTTCTAAGTGCAGATATTGTGGCAAAACTTTTACTCAAAAAAGTCATTGCAACATGCATGAAAGAATTCATACCGGTGACAGACCTTACAAGTGTAGTTTCTGTCACAAATCTTTTAAAGACAAATATTCTTGCATAGAGCATGAAAGAATTCACACAGGAGAGAAACCTTACAAGTGTAGATTCTGTTACAAAAATTTTACTCAAAAAAGCCATTGCACTGTGCATGAAAGAATTCATACTGGAGACAAACCTTACAAGTGTAGATTCTGTGAGGAAACTTTTACACTAAAAAAATCTTGCAAACTTCATGAAAAAAATCACACCGGAGACAAACATTTGAAATTTTAAAGAGAAAAAAAATTGCATATATCATGAGAGAATTCACACAAGAGAGAAACTTTTAAAGTGAAGATTCTGTGACAAAACTTCTAAAGACAAAATTGCTTGCATTGAACATGAAAGAATTCACACAGGAGAGAAACCTTACAAGTGTAGATTCTGTGAGGAATCTTTTACACTAAAAAAATCTTGCAAACTTCATGAAAAAAATCACACCAGAGACAAACATTTGAAGCGTAGACTTGCTGCAAAATCTTTCACTACAAAAGGAAATTGCACTTACCATGAAACAATTTACACTGGAGACAAAACTTTTAAGCAAGGTTTTTGCACTGTCCATGAAACAATTCATACAGTTGGAGAAAAGCATGATACATGCAAGTTCTGTGACAAAGAGTTCATAACAAAATTGGCCTGCATTAGCCTTAAAAGAATTTGTGAGAAACCAGACAAATGTGGAGTAGAATTTAATCAAGGGAATAATTGCAGAACACACAAAACAACATACAACAAAAGAAAACACAGTTCAAATAATATATATGGAACTTAAGGCAATGAAGATGAGCCTAACAATGCTCCAGATTCAGAGGGGGAGACAGATGAAATAAGAAATGTGGAAAATAAACTGACAAACAATAATGCCATAACCTATCACATATACAAGGAAGAAAGAACAGAATTCTATCATAAAGATGATGACACTTTTACCACAGAGAATGTCACCATCATTACTGACAATGATGTCTATGAAATACTGGCATGAAAAGGACCACGCCAGGTCTCATCACAACAATTATGAATAATTCTTTCTACAACATTTAATGATATGTTCAGATGACAAAAAAAAAAGAAAAAAAAAGAAAAACTTTTACCTTATAATTTTGTTATTTTTAGACAACCTAGGAATAATCATATGTAACTGCTTCAATTCTTATTTGTTCAGTGATTATCAACAATTATTACTTTTATTCTGTGTAGGTTCAGTTTTCATCAGATCATTTACTTCCATGATCAGACACATTATCTATGACAGATCATATATAATAAAAGAACTGTACTTAGTCAAATACATGATATTACACTAGAAAATGCCTCTCTTCTATCTTTATTGTTGAAAACAGATAGAGAAATAGACAAGTGTTTCATTTTCATTTATTTTATGTGTTTACTAAATGAAAACAATTTAAATCATTTCATTTTTTATCAAATTTATATATATTCAATGACTTTGTCACAGAATAAACAGTTAAAGATGCATACAAAGTCATTTTTGTCACAAAAACCAACCAAATGCCAGCATATAGTTTCAAGTAGTATAACTAAGAGAATTACCAAAAGGCATTGTTTAATTTTACCCGAAAATGATGTTTGAACAGATTTTTCTGCTGGCATTCTAAGCTGTATGTCAAGAGGGCAGGAAAGTAGGTCATGGAAGTAGGTTAAATTTACAACCATAAATTTAAAGAAAGGAGCAGTCTAAAGGTCTTTTATGGCTGAGCGAGAGATCTATTCAGTTTATCCCTTGGCATGTCAAATTTATTTGATGCATATTAGAATCCAGTAGAAGTAATTTACATGTGTTACTGGGAATCCACGCTCTACTGATGCTCGGTTTGTATGTACCTTTAAAAAAGAAACATCATTTTGTTCACTGGAAATATCAAATTCCAAAGAAGATTAAATTAGATATAGAAGACAACACATATTACAGACTTTAAAGAAACAGATTCAATGACAGCTAGACAAGTGTGATGTTGAAAATAAAGAAAAACATCTATAAAATGTAATGCAATACTGTATGTTTTGTCGAAAAGAATTCAGTGTTATATCACTGTTCCCTGTATTACTGTCCAACCATTTTAATATTCTTAGTTATCAACTGAACACAACAGTTCAGTGGCAGATATAGAAGGGGGGGGGCTGGGGGTTATAACCCCCCCTCTTCGGTTTCTGAAAAACAGGCCTATATCACACCAATGGGGTCATGTTGATACTCCCTGCACCGTTACTCCCTCACACTGATACTCCCCCACAACATTACTCCCTCACACTGATACTCCCCAGCACCGTTACTCCCCTTTAGTAAATTTTTGTGTATTATGCACATTGATATTCCCCCATACTGATAGATCCCCGCATCGACACATTCCCAGTAATATTGTCGATGTAAGCACACTATTATTACCCCACACCAATACTCCCCCACATCATTGCTTCCCTGCATCGATACTGTGGGGGAATATTGGTGCGGGGGAGTATGGGTGCAGGGACGTATAGGGATGGAACCACATCAATATTCCCCTCTTGAATTTAGAATTTTGAAAAGCTAATCATAGTTCTTAATTGTACCAAAGGACCCTGTTTGCTCTCCAAACTCAAAAAACTTTGGGGCCTTTAAGCAGGCCTGAACCCTACAACAAGTAACAACTACTGATCTCGAATTCTAACTCAAAATGATGCATATGAAATTAATCTCCAAGCTGAGGAGAGCGACACAGGCAAAATCTTGAGACATGAGCTCCCCCCTACTAGCTAGCTCTGCCCACAGTTACAGACATCAGACAATAGAGAGGCTTGCGTGTAATCTCCTTCTGTTGCTTTGGACACCCCCCCCCCCTTCAAAAAATCCTGGATCTGCCCCTGTAAATACAGTTTGTAGTCGCTGCATATGTAAAGGAAATACTAAATGAATCGTGCAACCTGCACCATATACCTCTGTATACTCTTATATCCAATTATTAGCACCTACCTACAACAATAAAACAAGGCCTTTATATAGCTGAGGCAGAAGTGTAAATCAAAACCCAATATAGAGGTGCAATTGACATTTAAAATATATTTAGATTGCAAACTATGTTTGATTATTACCATACATTTTGGAACATACGTTACCATTTAGGGCTCTATGCATAATGTAAAAGACATGGTAAAAATTCAAATCTGAATATAAATTGAGATAGTCCTGGATTTTTGTTCTATTCACATATGTTTTAAAAATTGAATACAACTTTGAATTCATTCAGTTTTATTTTTTGACACTTTAGCATGTGAAATGCTCCTCTATATTGGGTTTGTGTGTGTTACTTTGTTTGCATGGCCTAAGTGCCAATGACTCGTTGTCACTGCCAAGGTAAATATAAGTCATTTTAAGTATTGACTCCAACAAGGAACCAATATAATAACCTCAACGAGTAAACCAATGGTGTACAATGTTGTGTTGACATTGGGTTAGTCAGCAGGATTAGTCATGAGTCAGCATTAATTCAGACATACATATAAGCCAAGTTGTACGAGTGGCAAGTCTAGAACTTCTGTTTCATTATTAAGCTGCATTTGTTAACTTCCAAGATGCCTACCTACAAGCTGTACTATTTTAATGCAAAAGGGAATGCAGAGATTACCCGTCTGGTGTTTGCTGCTGCTGGTGTGGAATATGAAGACATCAGATTTAAAGACCGTGATGATTGGCTTAATAACTACAAGCACTGTGAGTTTTTTTCCATTTGTAATCTTACATGTTTGATTCTCATAAAAAACATTTAGGTCATTCAATTGATTCTTTGATCTATCAGTTGTGAAATACTAGTCTTGACCCAGTGGCACCTGCTCTTACAGTTCTTGGTACAAGTAATGGAAGTACAGAGTGTATGGTTCAGTATGCACAACAATCAGGGGACAAAGCATAATAACCTATTACCTCATTTTACGCTTAGGTCCATGTATCATATACCTTTAAAACAACAACACAGGTGTGGGTTGGAAGCTTTTTATTATAGCTTCGAAACTACGCTACGTCACTACATCTACAGTAATTAAATAATAAACAAAATCTCAATAATCCAGTCCTAGCCATGTTCAGTAAAGCATGTCTGCTCTGCATAAAGGCTTGCAACTGACTGAATTAAATCACTCAATGGCCGGAAAACGAGATTTAAGTGTCCTGGATGCAGTGACGTAACGTAGCTGTCCCCACCTGTGTGTGTTTTAAATAGGACTTAAAAGATAAGTCCTTACATAAACCTACTACCAAGGTCCTAGGAAACAATTTCCACTTGATATTAACTGTTATTTCTCTGGCTATATCTCTGCACTTTTCTGTACTGTGAGCTATTAATTATTGGGGAAAATGATATCATCACCCTGCTGACCTTTGATAGAGAGGACATGCCACTGCTCCAAGGCTTGTGATCATCTCTGTGATATACAGTGCCAGCACGCCAGCAGTGATGGCTAGACACTCCAAAACTATATATTCCTTGGCATCTTAGGAGTATTTTACATCTAACCTGTGAAACAGCATATGAATTTAAGATATAACCAGTAGTGGTAGCTAGCAGCATTGGTATTGTTACGTTTCTGACTTTTATAGCCATTAGTGTCTTTGCTATGGCCGTGCACATCATTGCATTGTATTCAAACTTATGGCAGTTACATTTTTGCATGCCCATGTTATGTAGTTAATTATTATATAATATTGCATCACATTGAGAAAAAATTGTTTTGCATTGCTACTACATAAGCCCTGAAAAGAAAACCAAGTTATTTATTATTTACCAACTGACAGTGACAAGAATGATTCTTAGGATTGACATATAGCTCTAATTGTCTAATTGGAAAGCCCAATTGATAAAATTTAAAAAAAAATTGTGCAATTTTTGCAAAATTTTAATTGTTCTCATTGTGGCATTTTAACATGTGAATTTTAACTCTCATGGGCCTGAAGCCTTATGCAAGTTACATGTTCTGCCTTGTTAGTAACAGACCCTAAGATTCAGATTCTATGCATGCCAGCATTTTTCATTTTTAAATCTTCACATATCCACGCTTACCTGAGGATGCAGATATTTAAAAATAACGAAGCTGCATGGACCTGACACCCAGATCAGGTGTCAGAGTCAAGAATTACCATTTGAGATAATTTCACTTATTTTACAGTAAGCCCCACCGGACAGTGCCCATTCCTGGATGTGGACGGGAAGAAGATTGGTCAGAGTTTGGCTATTGCGCGTCTTGTGGCACGAGAACACGGTAAGGAATGTGACAGATAATTTAACATTGTCTGCATTGTAGTTTTTGCTTAAACAAGTAAGAGATTACCTTTTAGAAAAAACAAGGCAGCAAAGCTGTCAAATGTACAGACAAAAAAAAAAATAAGGATGCAGAAAACGGGTCATTTTGTCAATTTTGATGCTATGATAAATGCTTATAATAGCAGTCAATCAAAACTGAATTTTAATCATGCACAACAGGTAACATGGTCAATAATAGGAGCAGATCCAGAGAAATTTTCTGACAGTGTTCCAAATTATCTTTGTTGATCCATCCTCCATTTTTGCTGATCTTCCAACAGAAAAAAATAGGTACCTGACTTTTATGAAAATGGCCCGATCATGCTGATTTTCAAATATGACCTGCATTTAATGCAATTCATTAGTTCTGTAAGTTTCAAGCCAAAGGTTAAAGAGTTTTCCACTTATCGGGTTATAGTTGATAGTGTACAATGACAATGACGGTGACAGCTATATGTCTGTACATAAAAAGTTTATAAGTGTTGATCAAAGGCAGCGGCTGTGCTAGAAATTCCAGCCATCAGTCTTGATTCAATCTTGAGATCATTTCAGTGTTTTTCTTACAACTTTATTCTTTCTTTCTAGGTCTTTATGGTGAAAGTAACATGGACGGTGCCATGATTGACCAGGTCCTTTACACTTTAGACGATTTGACCAAGCCACTTATCGACTGGCATTTTGAGAAAGATGAAGCAAAGAAGGTAGCATTTTTAGTTACTGGTATATTTGGCATAATGGTTAATAATTGTGACAAGTTGTGTATTAAATGTATCAGGACAATACCCCCCTTCTCCCGATAATCCCTTCCCCCCTGACAATTCCCCTTCCTATAATAAATATCAAACTGAGCATGAATAGCGTGACATTGTTCAAAACAAAATAATGCCTGCCTTTAATCAAAATGTATCTCCAGGTAGAGGCAGGTTAAACAAATCATCTCTTGCTCATCTAGGAATACCTTTCATGAACTGACACTACTAACTGTTTAACCCCCCCCCCCTCTTCCCCTTGGTCAAGTGAAATTAGTATAGAAAAATTGATAAAATGTTTTATTAAAAAATGACAAGTAATGTCAAATTTGCATCTATAATAGCATCTTAAAATTTAAAGTGACATCTCAGGTCTGTTGAAGCGTGTAATGAGCCTACTGAGTCTTATAATCAATAGCCAATCATTGTTTTTATTTCATTTTCTGTCTTCTTTCTTATATTCAGTAAACTATTCAAGAAATGTGTGAATGTCTCAAGTACATAGTACAAAAATTGTGTATCTTGTTTCCTAGAAAAGGGATGGGGTTGTCTTAAGGGGGATTGTCTTGGGGGGGGGGGGGTTAACCATGGTGCCATAGTAGAATTTTGCACAAGTGACCCAGGTTTAATAGGTCATTTTTGTTTCAAGTCAGTCGAATAACAAGCAATAGTTCTATTGACTTCATTGGTCCTCCATCTTTTTGCTAGGCAGAGAAAGAAAAGAAGCTAGCTGAGGAAACACTGCCTGAATCCATGCAACGCCTTGATAAACTTTTAAAAGGCAATGGCAGCAAAGGATACTTTGCAGGAAACAAGGTCAGACAAAAGACTTTTTTCCTGAAAGATTATATCGTGCTGTTCATATTATTAAAATGTACAGAATTTTTTATTTTTATATTCAAAATGCAGATAGCGGTCTAATTTATTACTTTTTCAAAATTAAGTAAGACACATAAGATATTAAAATCTAAACCATTTTATAATTGTTTTTCATTTGAATACTTGACTGTATTTCTTTTCACATTCAGCTCTCCATTGCGGACCTAGCAGTCTTCAATCAATGTTCAGGGCTGGTGGTAAAGTTCCCCAAGTGCATGGACAAATGCAAAGAATTGCCAGCATTCATTGACCGCATTAAAGCTCTACCAAAGATAGCTGATTGGTTAGCAAAGAGACCGCAGACAGATTTTTGAATTTTGTTTTAACGAACTGCATTGTCACTTGTGACCTACCCGCTGCCTCACAAACTGTTCCGTTAGGCTTTAGGCCTTAACCCATCTTTTGGCAAATTATAACAAAAAAAAAGGGACAACTGTTGATAGCAATTTTCTTTTTTTACTATTTTCAAAAACTGACCCCTATGGAAAATGGGGCGTAGTATGGCAATGAATTGCATATCATTATCTATCTTCCAACTTAACCAGCCACAGTTATAGGATTGGGACTTTTCCTTCTTATAATCTTGGATGTGTTAAGATTTAGTCAATTTTTGTTAAATAAAAAGGGAAGTGAAATTGCTTATAATTTGAAATGAAAAAGTCATATTTGAGTCCTGCTAAAATTACAGAATCTGATATAATTGTCATCTTAAATTGTTGTCCCAAATAGTAAAGTTGCTGTTAAGGTGCAAACAATGTGATTGTAAAATGCATTAAAACTTCAACATTTCAAAAATGGTTTTTATTTTGCATAAATAATCCTTGTCATGGTCATTGCTTTAAGGGTGCTTCTGCGTCTTTTCACTCAGTTTTTGGTTATAATTATTGATATTAAAATATAAAGTTCCAATAGTATACAAGTGAATTAAAATCTGAAAGCACAAAGCAACACAGACACNAATGCAGATAGCTGTCTTATTTATTAGTTTTTCAAAATTAAGTGAGACACAAAAAATATTCAAATCTAAACCATTTTATAATTATTTTTCATTTGAATACTTGACTGTATTTTTTTTTTTCACATTCAGCTCTCCATTGCCGATCTAGCAGTCTTCAATCAATGTTCAGGGCTGGTGGTAAAGTTCCCCAAGTGCATGGACAAATGCAAAGAATTGCCAGCATTCATTGACCGCATTAAAGCTCTCCCAAAGATAGCTGATTGGTTAGCAAAGAGACCGCAGACAGATTTTTGAATTTTGTTTGAACAAACTGCATTGTCACTTGTGACCTACCCGCTGTCTCACAAACTGTTCCGTTAGGCTTTGGGCCTTAACCCATCTTTTGGCAAATTATAACAAAAAAAAAAAAAGGGACAACTGTTGATAGCAATTTTCTTTTTTTACTATTTTCAAAAACTGACCCCTATGGAAAATGGGGCGTAGTATGGCAATGAATTGCATATCATTATCTATCTTCCAACTTAACCAGCCACAGTTATAGGATTGGGACTTTTCCTTCTTATAATCTTGGATGTGTAAAGATTTAGTCAATTTTTGTTAAATAAAAAGGGAAGTGAAATTGCTTATAATTTGAAATGAAAAAGTCATATTTGAGTCCTGCTAAAATTACAGAATCTGATATAATTGTCATCTTAAATTGTTGTCCCAAATAGTAAAGTTGCTGTTAAGGTGCAAACAATGTGATTGTAAAATGCATTAAAACTTCAACATTCCAAAAATGGTTTTTATTTTGCATAAATAATCCTTGTCATGGTCATTGCTTTAAGGGTGCTTCTGCGTCTTTTCACTCAGTTTTTGGTTATAATTATTGATATTAAAATATAAAGTTCCAATAGTATACAAGTGAATTAAAATCTGAAAGCACAAAGCAACACAGACACAAAATCAGCAGCTAATTTGAGCTTTAAATGTATTTTTTTTACTAAAAGTTACATCGAGGATGTAGTAGTTAATTTCCTGACTGTGATACATATTGCTATTATCTGCTGAATACATCTGATGTATTGTAAGTGTTTTATAAGTTTTTTTCTAACATTGCTTTGATAATTGTAATATTCTCTTAGTAACACTCTTCCAAGATTTGCAGTTCTACACCATCTGCAAGTCTATATATAACTAAATGCAGACAGTTTTAATGAACATTTCAACATGAAGCAGTGTTATCCAGGTGTTGTACATGTATGTAATATTTAGTAGCAGGTTTCTCAGTGGCCAGTATCAAGTAAAGTTTCCAAAGTAGCCTTTTGGAAAAACTAGAGAAAGGATGTACAATAAAATACACCAAATGTAATACTACAGTGGCAGATTTAGAGGGGGGTCAGGGAGTCCTGTCAACCCCCCCCCTTTCGGTTTCTGAAAAGTATATCACACCAATATTCCCCTCTTGATATTAGAATTTTGATTGGCTAAATCTTAAACCCCATTTCCATAGATATTTAGATCGATCTATCCCCCTGGGGAGTCTCGCTAGATTACGGTCAGCTTAACTGGCTTAAATGTCTGTCCCGCCTACTAAAAGGTGTAAGGGGGTAATTAACTTCTGTGCACGCTCGGCTGACAGCAAATTAGCGTGAACCCCCAGGGAGTTAGGTCGATCCAAATGGATCGATCTAAATCTGTGGGAATGCGGTCTTAGTTCTAAACCATACCAATCTTCGGTTTCTGAAAAGTATATCAAACCAATATTCCCCTCTTGATATGAGAATTTTGACTGGCTTAATCATAGTTCTAAAACATACCAAATGGCACTGTTTGCTCTCCAAAACACCAAAAAAAAAAAATTTGGAGCCTTTGAGCAGGCCCGAACTCCATACCAAGGGGTAGGGCGATCTTTGACTTCCAAGGCCCATTGTTCTGGACCCCACCCCTTTCAAATAATCCTGGATCCACCACCTAACACTGACAACATTCTGTATCAGTTAACCTGACAACATTCTGTATCAGTTAACCATAAGGAATACTGAGCTGTAGTCAGCAGATGAATTTCTAGCATAATAATAATAATAATAATAATAATAATAATAATCTGAAATCTAATCCAGAAGCAAAATGTAAAATCATGGAAAACTGAATGGTTAAAAAAGAGGCTAACCCATTCCTGTCTTCTCACTGATTTTTACCTGCTATCTGCACAAATATCAAAACTAGCTTTTCTAGCTACAGAAATCTGTTGACAGAAATTTCATGTCTGATCACAGGTAATAATATTTATCATATATAAACTGTATTGATATAAAAACTATAAAAATACAAATACAACCCGCTGACAGTGACCTCTGTATTGTGGTCAACTGATGACCTCATCACTAATGGTCAGTTTACCTGAGTGTCCCTAGTGCTGTCTTCCTGACTTGTTAACAACTGACCACTAAGTAAAGGCCTTGGGTTGCCGGACCAGGATGGAAATAGTGCTGCGATCACTCTGTCTTCACTTAGACTCTGGCGCTGAGGGAACGCATTCGATGTGCGCCCCCCCCCCCCCCCCCGGCCCTGCTCAGGGCTGGCGTAGTTGATTGTGAGAGAGTTACCCCCCCCCCCTTGTCTCGCCCCACATCCCGGCTCCTACACCTGTGTATCAAAACTTTCGTTGGCTGGTTCATCTTCTGCCGGGAGTTGAACAGTTAACGTGGTCAACAAATCGTTAGGGAGAGACAGATGGCATAGAGAATTATCAAGTTGTCTGCAAAGTGCTACACAGAGAAACTGCAAAAGTGTGCTATTTTTACACTCTTTTCAAAGATTGTAATAGACTTTGATTATAACAGTTCCACGCTCTCTTTTTATTTTGCAGTTCAATGGGTACCCTCTCTCTCGCCCGCCTCTCCCTAAAATGTTCCACTCCAGAAAAAATCAATAATGCTATGGGAGAATTGTACAGGCAAATTGACCTACATTCTCCACTGCAGTTATTGGCGCTATTTTAACAATGTAATGACTTGGACGTAATAACGTGATTCACGCCTGTGATATGAAGGTTTATAATTCATATAAATAATTTCATAAACCGGACGTGTCCATCAAATAAGCGGAAATTTGTGAGGGTTAAGAGACATCGTTGTTTACAAAAGTAATAAAAACTGTACATGACTCTAAAACAGAACAAAATGCATTTTTTTCTTATATGCAAATTAGATTGCCTGTAGTAATATAAGGTTTTTCCGGAAGTGATGTTCACATCAGAGATTTCAAATAGCGGCAATCTTGATCACCTAAGCTATCTTAATTTCTATTATTTGATAAAAAAAAATAATACATATTTGAAGCTAGCAAAAGTAATTTCCCTAAAGAAAAATAACAATTTTCTTCTCATTATAAATCATTGCTCGACCCGCCCTTCGGAAGAATTTTGTAACAGCTAGAAGGCTGAGAAGGGCTTCTTGACGAGAGGCCCGGTGTACGCCCCCTCCCTCCCCTCGAGAGGTACAGTAAAGATCACTTTTATTAATATGTTCCAGCGAATAGGAAATACTGATCATGATTGTTTTAAAGATATAAATAACTCATATTCCAATGCTATTTTTTTTTTCATTTTGTCTGTGGCTCTGCTAATTTTTTTTTTTTTTTTTTTTTGAGAGAGAGAGAGAGAGAGAGAGAGAGAGAGAGAGAGAGAGAGAATTTGTCTAACGTTAGATCGCGAGGATGTGGTATTTAACTGCTATGAAATTTCCATAACTTTCATGTCCATATTGAATGATCAATTCGGCAATAAGATTTAGATAACAAGATAATGTGATTAATAAAGAAATTGAGAAAAATAAAAAAATCAAATTCAAGAAAGATTGCATTTTTTATTTTCCACAAAATCCAAATGCAATAATTTACCGGTTGACTTTATTTTGGTTTTTCCTCTGAAAATGTACTCATTTTTCCCGTTTCTAAAAATAAAATGTGTCACTGATACCTTTTTTTTTTTTTTTTTTTTTTTTTTTTTTTTTTTTTTACTGCATATAGAGACTTAACAGTTACCTGTGTCCAGTCTCGTGAAAAATAACCTCTCATCAATACATGGAATAGATAAGCGTGTCGATCCTGGTGCAACTCAAATGAAAAGCGAACGCGGTAAAAATTCAGTCATGGTTGTCGTGAGGCACAACCTACCACCGGTCTTATTCAAAATACAGTAGAATCTTCCTCGACAAAGAGAGAAGACACTCATCGTGTCACCTTAAAAGAAAGCTGTTTTATAGTTGACGTGGTTATAAACATTGGATATAAAACAGTGGAGGAAGGCAATTCTATTCTCATATGTTGGGCACAGTGACGGTAAAGCGTCTTGGATTTGTTTCGTTTTGCTTGTTATAATTTTTTAATTGATATTATTATCTTTTTGTCCCACACTCATGTATGTATACGGGAGGACCAGCCCCTCTTCAGATTTCTCATAGAATTTTTTCCTTTAGCCTTTTTTTTTTTTTTTGGGGGGGGGGAGGGAGGAGAAAAGACATCTGGGAAACAAAATGTAAAAGTGAGACACACGTCACCCCCTTAGACTCTAAATCTGGCATTGAATAAGTGGCCTAATCATGAAATACGTGGATTATATTTGGCGTTATAACGTTACGTTTTGGTGTAGGACACAAATAGATAAAACGCACCCTGTCTTGTGCTTTGGTAGTTCACCTTGCAAGTAATAGGCCCAACTGCAACAGCGGTCAACGGCTTGTCACACCTAACACATTACAATCAATTCTGTGGTAGACGTCGCAATCATGTTGAGACAGAACAGACGCCAGAATATCACCTTGTATAATAATGATTATTTCTTATTTATTGATAAAATATTGATAACCCAGTGGGTTAAAGTTCTAGACAAAATATTAAGAGCACTACAATAAAAATAAGATTTTAAATGATCTAAGGGTTCATTCCCAATGAAACTATCATCCTTACGTAGATTGATCCAACTATGCTGAATGCAATCAGTTTAACAGCTTAACACGCCTCCTATTGTTTTAAACTTTTTCGTAAATCACTTTTTGTGTATTCTACTAAACACCAGGCGGAGGCGAAACAATTTGAAATATCAATTTTCGAAGAAAAAATATTTGATACGAATGGAATTTCATTTCTTTTATTACATAAAATATGTTATACGAGTGCTGTATGTGAAAGAATCATGTGATGTATGATATATGTTGAAATCTTGTATATGTCAATATTGACAGCATGAAATGACAGGAGGATATTGGGGAGGTAGAATAAAACTGTTATAACTTGTGCATTACAGTACAGACGGGCGTTATGAAAACTGGTTGTATGATGCAAAGTGAAAAAAAAAAAAACAATTTGAATAAAATGCTTCGGCAAAATATAGGCATAGCGTATCTTCACGGCGTTTGTGCTGACGTGCTAAAATATTGCGCAGATTTTCCTGGGATAGGTGGTATTTTTCTCCAATTAATCAATCCTCCTTTCCTGCCACTGGCTAAAATTCTGTAAAAATCTTGGATAATTTAATAAACGCCATCGTTATCATGACCGGGTTCCACACACACACACACACACACACACACATTCGAAAGTTTATTTGTCATTGTGAAGGTAAATAAAGACTACAACATCGTACATTCAGATATGATCACATAATTTAAAAGTTTATTAATTTGTAGTCTGCTGATTCCAGCAGATGGCGTCATAGTTCGCTCAGGTCGGTCACATATACTAAACTCTGTTCAGATAAAAAACGTGCATTTGATCATAACCAGTGACGTAAATAATGTTTCATTGTGGGGGGTGTTAGGGTATAGGATTAATTTTATCAATGGCGTGTTTTGAAATATATCTAACACAAATACATCCTTTGAGTTTTTATTGCAGTAAATTGTCAATGAAGGTTCACCTATCAGATAATGATGATAATCGAGTAAACAATGCGACCAAAATATCCTGCCTCCTCCCCCATGAATCATATGTAACCAACACTCCAGAAAGAGATGTCACGTCTTCATCAGTTCTGAGTGACCAGGGAGTGGATGCGAGGCTGTCCAGATACTAAGTATACGAATATATCAGTTTCAACCGATTTAGTACAACGTTTTAAGATATTAGTGTTAGGTATTTGATGATAATTTATTGATGATTCAATTTTGATGCTTGGGCGTTTAAAATTGGTATTGCAAATAGCCCAATATTTTCCCTATTCATTTTCGCCAGCTCTTCATATCCCATGTAAATGAAGAATGCAGTTGCACTTCATGTGAACTATTCTGAACTCCGTTGGTAGATGTAGTCCTAGCACTAAATGTTCTACGTGTGGTGTCTTTCTGATTCTTTTTCCTACACTAAAGATAGTATATGTAGGACAATATGTAGTTATTGAAGTTGTTAGCAAGTACCGTTCAAAAAATATATTCCTTTATCCAATAAAATCTATAACAAGTTGACAATATTACATTGAATGATATATTTTTGCTCATGTCTTGAGAGCTATAATGAAAAATATGTTCTTTTTTCCAGTAAAAATTAATTGGGAATATAACATTAAATAATAAATTCTCAATTTTTAATTACTATTTATCAGTACTTTGAACTCGGCATATAATCATAATTTCACTCTTGACATTCACGTGATTTTATTTTAATCCAAAGGCATATAGTGCGCATTAGACCTTGACTTAGAGAGTAAAATCCTGAAAAATTGAGCAATTTCCCTTTATCACCAAAGCACACTCTTATCTAACGCCGTTGACAGAAGTATGATGTATAAATTTTTTTTAAAGTCTGCTTGTTATATGCTACACTCCATTACGATTTAAACATGCTTTCGAGTTGTCAATTTCAACTTTTCCCGTCGTGAGCGAAATTGACCATTCTCTATTTTCATTATGAAAGAGACTTGCTTGGAGCTTAAAATGACTTTATGGATCAAATTGCTGTGGACTGTTTTTGGATATCGTATACCTTGGTGATTTATTGTTGAAATTTCTAGGAAAATAAAATGTTTGCTTTTTACGGGACCAGCGCTCACTATGTGCCTTTAACGTTGGCTTTACTTTAAATGCTCAGATAAGAGATTAGAATACTTGAATTCATAAATTTGTGCTTGTTAATGTTCTAATTGTCTGCTGTCCAGACTCGTAGTTTGTACACTATGATCTTTGTAAAAATGCAACTGGGACGGTGATGTTTTTTTAAACAAATCTCGATTCCGTGTAAAGTTAAAAGAATTATTGATACTATTTTTTAAAATCTGCTCAATTTTGAAAAAAAAAACAATAACTTTTATAAGATAGATCAGCAGGTGCAAAAATGTTTACTCTCTACATGTGCTATGTGAGGATTATTCATGTTCGGTTAATAGCACAACACAGCACGAGAGTTGTAGAATTGCTCATAATTGTAGGTTTTTAGCTGTTGAAATGATTCTTATAATACCGTATGTTTAGAAACAGAAAAAAACAACGTCGGATCCGGAACATTTAAATGTAGTCAAAATGTGAAATTCTAGGCAATTTATGTGTACTTGAATGTTATTCCAGAGCGGGTTTCCTTCTCGATTTTTCTGATGTTAAAGGTGGACTGAATACCAGATCCGGCGATGTTTTTTAAAGGAAAAAAGTTTTTTCCGAAATATTTTCTTTAATATCAAACATAAGATCAAACATAAGAAGTGTAGTTGATAGTTTTATTTGTAAAATCAAATAGGTTAAATCTGGTACATTTTTAGTGAATTCTAATGAAAATCTCAATGACTTTGTTTATATCATTTTATTCAAACTTTCAAAACTTAAAAAGAATCACAAATTTAGTCGCACAAACTGATGTTTTAAGATGGAGATGGTTAAATATACACGCATATATGGAATGGAATTTTGTTTTGGTCTTAATAAAGAAATACCGAAATTATTCAATGCGTTGTAGTATTTTCATGTTCATTGGTATCTACGGGTTGGGGTTCACTTTTCTGCTCGCGTACTTGGATAAAAGCAAGTAATTCCCAAAGACTTTTTAAAAATTTCCTTTGGTTACTATAAGAAGAAAGTCTACCCGGGGAGGGTGGGTGGGAACAGTTAGAGGAGTAGGTAACGCGCTTGCCTCTGAGACAGAAGGTTGCAGGTTCGATTCCTGGCGCCACTGGGTCCCAGCAAAAATAAATCCAAATAAAGGATTTTGACTTCTACAAAACAGTGCTACGAACACAGGATAGTAAGTGGAGTTGGCGGTTCTGTAGTTAAGAAAAAATAACTTCTATTTTGTTCATAAAACAATATAGCACATTTATTATGGCATAAATGAATACAAAAAGTAACAGCATAATAACACAGAATATAAAACTTGGAATACGCTTTTTCTACATTAATGGCAATTTCATAACACGTACTATGAAATCTGAATTAAGCTTTTACATACAAGCAAAACTGGTTCTCTATCTAACTAAATCATGTCGAGATTCTATGCATTTTGAACATTTCTACTTGGCCGGCGTAGCTTTTAGATTTATAAAGAAGTTCAGGAAAATTATGATAGACATAAAACCAACAAGATTAACAAAAAAATGTTTGTCTAAATTCACTGATGTGAACGGTGTAGAAAATTCAATATGCATATAACCACATCCTATCCCGACACATGTACCCACATGCAAGCACTATGTCGTCTTGCTGATGTTCACAAAACAATAATAGGGAGTCAAAGTAATTAAATTTTGTAAAATTCCTGATAGTTTTGTTCATCGATAAATATTGCTCATGTCCAACACAAACTTGTTTTCTTCTCATGAAATCCTAAAATATGTATTTCATGGCACAACTTTGACTTTGAGCGAAAACTGAATTTTATACAGCATGAGAATCAGAAACGTCATGATGACATGACCAACTTGCAAGCTTATTCCAACCATAGCCATTTTAAAGAATAATTTGCAAAGAAAACGGAAAAGATTACGTAAATATTAGTTCACTTCAAATATACGTTTACTAAGACAACACTAATAAACTTAAAACTGGTCTCCGGTGTTCAGTGATCAAGTGACACTCAGCATTATAACTCAACAAGATATGTAGGACTGACATCCGATAAGAAGTTTTTCTTCAATCACACTTTGATCTCGACCAAAGAGTAAACTAAGATAATACTAGGTACAAGGCCAACCTTAAACAGAGCGCTGATCTGCACACTTTTGGATAAACTTTTTATATACTGACAATTGTTCATATTTGTTTAAAGAAACAAAATACTATGAAAAAGCAACTTTGTATGATAATTCAATAAACTTTCAAAGACAAGGGTAAAGAACTGCTGACTGAAATTAAGCAAATTTACCAATCTTTAAATGTTCTTTAAATTTCGCTTTAAATTTTATCATATTCTCCTTCGGGAGTATTGATAGGAATTGGCAGTCTTAAAAACTTCTTTGTGATAGCTAAAGTGATCGATTCGAATTTGTCAAGAATTTAGAAAGTAAAAGTTTCTGATGAATGTTAGTCCTACATAAACCCCTTAATGAAGATAATATACCGATCGCGAAATAAATCATTTTCTATAATTCAATGATTTCCTTTGACTTTTCCTTTACTATTGCAATAACAAATGCATACATTAATTACTGGGAATCTCCACTCCCTGGTTGTTTCCAAAACCAGGGTGACTTTTGATCCTCATCTCTAAAAATGTGGCCTGACACATCAGACTTGATATTAGAATACCAAGTTTATTTTTAATATGCGTCACAATCACATTTTGAAATTTTAGAAAGACTATACGCATGGACAGATACGCAGTATTGTTGATATATTTTGATAATGCGACAATATCTGCAAGACTATTATTCCAATTACTGCGAATTATCCAATTTCTTTTAGTAGATACGCATCGCATTTTCTTCCTCGACTGAACAATGCCGCCGTCTCCGCTAACATACATACCGAGTACATGCATATATGTATAGTAGCAAACCAACGACATACAGATCTAACGCTTATTAGTAAAGTATTAGACCGCGATCACAACCAGTTGATCCGCGGTTTATCTAGTCCGTGGATCAAATATGGCGCATACTTGACAATGGATTCCCCGCCTCCCACTCGTCCCACAGGGTTAAGCAATTAACTTGCTTTCAATTAAGGTTTTCTATTTTATAGTCTGCAGATTAACTGGTTGTGAACGCGGCCTTAGTCTTTTTTAAGTGAGACATTTCGTGAAAAAATACTCCTTACATCCGACTTTTCATTTGATACACGTTCTGATGGAGAACATTACAACCCAAAGCAAACATTACACTTCATATTAAATGTTAACCCTGTAAATTTACTAGCAGACGAACTCTGACATGCGACATGTAATCTTGACATGGATGCAGCCGCTGTGGAACACGAGTCTGACGTCATTGATGGAGAACGTATTCAATCTTCTCGTGCACGGTTGAGTCACTGAAATTAAACAAAAAACACTTTACAAAACAATCTCTATGGTTTGTTTTCATAAAGCAGTTTTTGATATAATGCAACCGATTTCGTTAATAATATTCAACAAATCGATTTTCAGCTTCTAATTTATACGAATATATATACTGAGGTGTATTTTATGTAATCATGGACGTTAGAACAATACCATTTCTATTATTTTACACCATGTACACATTGAAACACTACAACATTCTGTGTCTTTAGAATTACATGTCAGGGAGGGTAGAAAAAGATACTGACCCTCGGATTACGTTTAAGTTTACAGAAGTGAACATTTCAGAAATAAACTATTGTCAGGAAGGTTTTAAAATAAAAAAAAATTCGAGACCTTTGAAAGAAGAACAACATAGGCACGACATGTACACGATGGCGGGTAGGGATTTGCCGGTAGTGGATTTTGAATCTTTTAAAATCAAAGCCGGACCTACAAATGTAGTTACCTGCCAAAATGTCTCACATTGTTTAAGACGTGTTCACAGCTGGAGCAAATCTCTCACCACCTGGCAAAAACATTCCATCTGAAAATAAGAACAGATAATAAACTATTCAAACGTCAATCTGAATATGGACTTTTAAGGGAAAATATTGTTAACGTCAAGACAAAATGTCCCCATGCCTTATGGTGATGTGTTGTGTGCAAATTGCACCATTTTTGACAGATGTCATTAACACCAAATAATAAATGTTATCTTCCATCATCTATACAGTACTTACAACAGTTCGATGCCAATTTCAGTCCCAGTTTTCCGACCAACTCGTGGAAACTGTAGCAATGTGAGACAAGGCTGCTTTCTTCCCCATCTTCTACTGACCTCGGTCCTTTCTGAACGCCTCTCACCAAAATACTCACCTGGATTACATAACAACATACAGTTGATCACCTTCTGTACAGAAGCCTCGATGTCAACTTCAGTCTTTGTTATATAATAAGGTGCAATCATGCCCCCCCCATCCCTGGAAGATGATTTGGATTTGCTGAAATCATGAACACAAAAACATAAAAATTTAGCTGAATTTGTTCTACAACAGTTGTGATATCTTTCGATATGAAATGTTTTAACAATATATAAAAATATACATAAGTGCCTCCATGTCTTTGTGTTAATACATGCCCCCCCCAAAAAAAAAAAAAAAAAAAAATTACCCCCCACCCCCAACACAGTATGTATCACAGATAAAGGCATTCAATAATGATGAGTAATGATGAGTAGGGAAAAAACGTAAATACAGGGGTGAAGACGGTTACGTCTGAAATTCCTTCCAAGAAAAATAGAAATAACGATTCACCCAATTGCCCATAATTGGGAAACCTTGACCTATGTAATCGGCATGAGGTAACGAAAAGATCAAAAATGAAAGGAAAAAGTTTGGAAATAAATAATTATGTGCAAAAATGACCAAACACAATGTTGTACTTGTGTCAAAAATAAATAATAGTAAGTAAAGTAACAGTGGAAATTTTAAGGTAGAGCTGGTGAATTCTTTAGATAAAAAATGATAAAATAAGTAAAGAATAATAGGGAAAAAAGACAAATAATGAAAAATGTTGCAGACATTCTGATGTAGTTTGATTATTTGGTTAACGGGAAGACGTGTAGCAACTGACAATTTGGGGTCATTTAAAGGTACTGCAGGCCAATTTGAAAAAAAAAAAATATATTAAAAAGGCTCCCCAAACCAAAAAATAGAAAAATGATGAAATAAGCATAACGTTTTAAAGTTTTTAATATCATTTGAAGTTAACTGATTGAAGCAGACGCATAGCAGAAATTCAAAGGAAAAGCATGCACAGTTATCTGTTATCATAAAAAAATACTTATTAATTATACAGATCTTTCAGCAGGAGGTAATGGGAATTAATATATTTGTATATTTTTTAATGGAAAATCTGCTTATTATATTATTCCATTTCTCACAAAAATTATTAAGTTTTTTTTCTAAAAATATAAGTGAAAGGAAAAAGATTAGAGAAAAAGAGCAACAATTGAAGATACACATTTTTTCCCCCCAAAAAACTTCCTTTATTGCATTGAAATAATGAAGAACATACATATTACTGGCATGCATGTACTCAAAAACAAGAAATACTCTTTCACTAGTATCTAAAAATCAAAATTATTATATCTTCATACATAAAAAATAATGCACTAACACTAACAGAAGTAACAAAATCTCAGGTACAGCATCACAATATCTACAGGCCTCTAGACAAACAAAGTTTAAAAAATACATCAACAGAACAATTTTAAATATCTGATTTGCTCCATTCTGAGATTTTGCACACAGTGAAGAGATTGAATTTGACAAACTTCACTGATATAATTTTATTTCCACTTTGACTATTTATTTCACAATACACAATAACAGATTTACCATTACTTTTATACAATCACCTAACAAAATTGTTAAGATGCAGAAAATGTCAAAATAACACGTTTAAGTATAAGTTCAATAATGAGACTTTTAACATGTCTAAGAATTGAATCTGAGGAAAAACCACTTATATACAAAAAAAAAAAAAAAAACAGCATTACTTCATCAAAGCTAAACCTATTAAGAAAATTTTCAAATTTAACCTGTACATATGAATCAGCCCGGTGTCTGTACATAAAAATCATATTCTAGTAAATGTTGCAATGGTGTGGGACAAATTTTCTTTCAGCCTTCTTAAAGCTTTAATATTTATTAAATATTGATAAAATTCCCATCTGGAGACGTCTATATAAATGTCACATGAAATATAGTTTAAAGCCAGAAGGAAGAAGCATCAACATGTTTTGTATACTGTAAAATAAAAATTTATCTTCTGCCCTTTTTCTGAATCAAGACAAAAGTTCTTGGAATGTTGAGTACACCAAGGAAGCCAACACAGATGTATTTCTAGGATAATGTATTAGAACAAACTGCAAAGTGCTGTTTTGGATTTTCATCTGAAATCTTCATATCAACTCCACTGTTACATTGACTGAGTTGTGTCACAAGAACAAATATTTTGTATGGGTTTGATATGTGTCATTTCATAATAAAGTCTTATCATAACTACCAACATCTATTCTGCTTTGTGCGAGATATATTCCCTCCCAGCTTAGCCTCATCTGTGGAATAATTGTCAAAAAAATTTATGGTAAAAAAGCCCGGTCTCATAAATCTGTATTCGTGACTAAAACATCAGTGTTGTAATCATTTTCCGTTACTATAGGACAGAGTTTTTCATGTGGTATATGGACTGTGATCTCTGATGACTGGTTGTCTGCTACCCCATTGGAGTAAGTGGAGCTGGTCATGTCCTTTTTTTAGGGGGTTTAGCAGGTTCTTATCCTATTAGGGGATTAGCAGGTTCTAATCCTTTTTAGGGGGATTAGCAGGTTCTAATCCTTTTATACTGTCATACATTGGGTTGGAAAAATTGGTCGGTTTGTTGTGGTCTTCAAAATTCTCCGTTTTGTTGTACTCTGGTTCCATTGCATCCTATGAGAAAAAGGATGAGCATTTTAAACCAATGAATAAAAAGAAAACTTCCAGCTACGAAGCATAAATATAAAATGCTTTCATGGGCAATTTGTAAAAAACAAACAAACAAACAAACAAACACCCACCCACCCAAAGTGTTTTTTGGGACAATATATTTGGGAAAACTGAAAATTACATTGAAAAGGCTGGGAAATCACAGGCCCTAAAATAGTTAAACGTTAATAATTTTGTCAAATCTTGTCCAATATTTATGAAATTTGTACAAATGATAATAAACAACAATAAAAATCTGAGAGAAGCTGATCAGTTGACTATGTCCTTTTTTAAGTTTCAAGTTTATGGGAAATTGATCATCAGAGGAGTGAGAATTAACTAAAACAAATATTTTAATATTGCAATGTATTATTTACTCTGAAAGAAAACAGCAAATGTGATGATTTGAGGTTGTTTGTGTAAGAGGTTGCAAATTACCTATAACTGTCATCTGGAAAACAATATGTACCCATACAAGACTTCTCCTTACTACCAATGCCAGATGCAGATTACTCCTTGCAATGGGTTTCTGGAAGGGGTTGTTGTTATCACAATATTTGATAATGTCCTAAATCTTGCCAAATATCATGTATTGTACACATGGATAAGACATAGTGCTGCTCTTGGTGCTGTCTTTCACTGCCTGCTTTTTCATGGTAAGGGTACTCTGGAAAAAGAACAATATAACTGAAAGAACTGAAATTACATAGAAAAGACTGGCAAATTCATTGACTTAAAATAGTTAAACATTAATAATTTTGTCAAATCTTCTCCAATATTTCTGAAATTTGAACAAATGATCCTTAACAACAATAAAAATCTGTGATCAGCTGATCAGTTGACTGTGACAAATGAAAAGAGTTTTTTGGGACAATATATTTGGGAAAACTAAAAATTGCATTGAAAAGACTGGCAAATCGCAGGCCTTAAAATAGTTAAACATTAATAATTTTGTCAAAAATATTCTAATATTTCTGAAATTTGAGCAAATGATGCTTAACAACAATAAAAATCTGTAATAACCTGGTCAGTTGACTGAATCTAATGAAAAGTGTTTTTAAGGACAATATATTTAGGAAAATTAAAAATTATATTGAAGAGACTGGGAAATCGTAAGACTTAGAATAGTAAAACGCTAATAATTTTGTTAAAAATGTTCCAATATTTCTGAAATTTGTACAAATGATGCTTAACAACAATAAAAATCTGTGATAGGCTGATCAGTTGTCTGTGTCCTTTTCTAATGGTAAAGTTAATGGGAAATTGATCATCAGAAGAGTGAGAATTAATCAAACAAATATTTCAATATTGCAATGTATTATTTTCTCTGAAAGAAAACAGCAAATGTGATGATTTGAGGTTGTTTGTGTAAGAGGTTGCAAATTACCTATAACTGTCATCTGGAAAACAATATATACCCATACAAGACTTCTCCTTACTACCAATGCCAGATGAAGATTAATCCTTACTGTAACAATGGGATTCTGGAAGCGGTTATTGTTATCACAATATTTTACAATGTCCTAAATCTTTCCAAATATCATGTATTGTACACATGGATAAGACATAGTGCTGCTCTTGGTGCTGTCTTTCACTGCCTGCTTTTTCATGGTAAGGGTACTCTGGAAAAAGAACAATATCACTGAAAGAACTGAAAATTACATTGAAAAGACTGCCAAATTCAATGATTTAAATTAGTTAAACATTAATAATTTTGTCAAATCTAGACCAATATTTCTGAACTTTGAACAAATGATGCTTAACAACAATAAAAATCTGTGATCAGCTGATCAGTCGACTGTGACAAATGAAAAGTGTTTTTTGGGACAATATATTTGGGAAAACTAAAAATTGCATTGAAAAGACTGGCAAATCGCAGGCCTTAAAATAGTTAAACATTAATAATTTTGTCAAA